CTGATTACTTCCACCTTGTCTCCCTCGTCAGGAAATGATTCTGACACGCACTCACACCCTGCTTTCTCCGCATCAATATGCGTGCGATGGAAAAACTGCAGACAGTAAATAAATAATGAAAGAGGAGGAGGGGAGAGGGAGGCTCGACGTGTCTCTCTCTCTCTCCGTCTCATTCTCTGTCCTCTGTGTGCGAGTGACTCAGTCTGGGAAAGTGTTGTGTGCGTTGTGTAAGAGGATGTAAGTATGTGCAAATTTACAGATGGAAGAGAGGAATTGGGATTTATTACACAAACATTACAAATTAAGAAGGGGGTCGATCAAATGCTGTGTTGGAAATGAACTAGCTACATATGTTGACTTTATCTAATTTCATTACAAAAAAATGGAATTGAAAACCATAACAATTACTAATACATATTTGTTACATAGGAATGTATTACTTTTGGTGAACAGCTTGGATGTATTATATTCAATCTGTTGCATTCTATCTTACGTCCAGACATGCTCCATTCATTTGGAAGATGTTTTTTATTGGTTCTCTTTGAATTTTCACCTCTTGTCTGCCAATCACATCAATGGGCGTTGCATGTGAACTTCACCAAGGCAGGTGTGGCCATGTTGAGAGTTAAAACTGACCTTCAGTGCTGGAAACTAAACAATATTTATCTTCTGAATTCTGGAAAAGGGCTCTAATAAAAATATACTATAGTAGGGTTTCTGTGCTGGACCCTGAAGTTGATGCTAAGGCTATCTGTTGTGTTAAGCCCTATTCTGGGACAGTTATATATTATTATCGAGTACATATCACCTACATCTTCATCGTGTCCTTATTGGTGATCTCAAGCCATATGTTCTCCTAAATATGGTAAGGTACCTGTTGCATTGTTAGTCGTACAGTATTGGGTGTTGAGAAGTAGCCGGCCCATTATTCCCGGAACACCAATAGTCAAAACAAAAGGTCACCTTCGACCAAAATCCCAATTGTCTGACGATCTGTTTCCTTGAAAACTTAAACCCATCATTCAAAAAACACACAACGTACCTGCAATGGATAAAAACACATGGCTATTAATAATGCAGAATGATGGAAATATTGTTTTAATTATATTATTTTTTATTTATTAAAAAAATGTCATACATTTCCACTGTGGGAACCAAAACCGAAATTCTGCGGTAAAAAATTCTGGGCTTGAATAATCTGCCCACTTTAAAACATTTTACGGAAAAGTAATTAAAGGAAAATGTTAACTTACTTTTTGACAGAGCAACTAGTTATCTGTGACCTATTACATTTCAAAGTAACCTTCCCAAAACTAATAAGAGGCTTATTCAATGGTTTTAACCTTGAAATCAAAACACAAGATGCAATCATATTGTTTCAATTAAAGTGACGGGTTAATAAGAGGATATTTTACTTGTCCTATTCAATATTTCTTCAGTACTGTATCCTATCTAAGCGCCTCCTCGCAGGAAGGTGTTTGGATTTTCCACTTCTCAGAGCCAAGAAGTATGCCAGTAAAGTGAGGGAGCATTCTCAAAATCCCTGAAGGGATTATCACAGACTCTCTGCATTTATGCTGAGGACACAGAGAGGGTAAGCACATCTGATTGGCCCACTAACCCCAGTGGCCCACAGTGACCGTTTGTGTATAACAGTTTGACATTACAGAGCAGTGGCTAATTTATGTTAATGACATGATGGCACAAAGACCTCAAATGATTTGTTTGTCTGAATGTCATTTCAGCTTTCTCCTTTTCTAGTTGATTTTATCCCCAAATTTGACACTATTTGGCTTGCTACTTTAGTGTATCACTAGAGCAGGGGTGGGGAACCTCTGGCCTCCGGGCCGTATACGGACCGCGAGACCATTTGGCACGGCCCTCGAGGTAATTTATAAACACACGCAAAAAAGAAATAAATTAAAGAAATCTAGACCGCAAAATAATTAAACAAGTGAGTGCCTGTTTTTCCTGGCCACGGTCTGGGTCCGTGAACACAACACGAGCCTAACGTGGTATATGTCTCGTCTGACAGGGGTGCAGTTCTGACGGAGAGCACCAGAACGCCGCTCCGGCACTTCAGAAATTGCAGTACCCATAAGGAGCCGTAGACATGTCGTAGTTGTGTCTTTAGTTGAAAGCCCAGTGGCGATCTGTTCATCTGTCATACTGATCATACAGTCAATAACTTTGTTGTTATTAGCATCTGGTTAGCTAGCTATGCTAATGAATATAAGAAGCTTTTTCTACAACCAGTGAGGTAAAGGCACATCTTTATATGATCATTATAGTTATACAAAAATAAGAGAATAAAGTAAACGGGTATAAAATACTATATGACAGTAAAAAAAAGTTGTGATTAATAAACAAGAATAGAGTTTGAAAGGGGAGTGATTTGTAAAATATCCATAAAGAAAAAGAAAATCTGCTTACAGTTCTGTTTCATATGGGTGTTAAGAGATGTATCCATAGATCTCCTAATGTTGCTCTCAAAGTGCACCAGATTGATGCCTTTAACTTCAACATTTAAAAAAAAATCTTCCCGGGGGAGCATGCCCCCCGGACCCCCCTAGAGGAGGTGAGGACCCCCCCTAGAGGAGGTTAGGTCCCCCCCCCCCACTTAAATCATGTTCACATGGATAGGAAACTAAATACATTTGCACACATCTTGTGTCCATATTTTTCTGTTTTGGTGGTCATGCCACACCGTGCACGTGCATGTGCGAGTCATGGTAAGATATCTGGATTAAGAGGTTGCTTTTTCTTTGCACAGAATGAAAGAAAGGCCAAATGAATGGGCTGTGAATTTAGTTTTTTTAAGCAGAGGTCAATCATTTGTACAGCCTTCGGAGGATGTTGAAAACATTGAAATGGATCTTGAGAGGAAAAAGGTTCCCCACCCCTGCACTAGAGTAATAATGAATCATCAGCAAACTCTGTGTGTGTTGACACATGTGTGTTTGTGAGTTCATTCTGGTTCAAGTTAAGTTCACTGCTAAAAAATATTATTAAGTACATAATATTTGTCACAGATATCTCTCCGGTAGGATTTCATCATTTCATACTAATATGGGTCAACAAGAGGTTTTGTTGATATTTACTGGAAGAAGGAAATCCACATTCTTCCATCTCCAATTTTAAAGCATCTCAGACAGCAGCAAAGACACTTTCTGTGCCCTAAGAAATGAAAATACAATTCTTATTTGGCTTATTTGCTCACCTAACAATTGCGGTAATGGAATTTCAGTGTTGCAACGGCAATCACTGATGTTTTTTAGGCCGCCATTTTCACACGTTTGGTGTTCCCTCCCCATCCACCAAGTAGCATGCTGGCAACCAATGAGGGCTATTGTCAGCATTAATAACTCAACTTTTGAGTCACAGATCGACCACTTAAAGTCTGTGTGTTGAGTATATAAGGGGCTTAAGGAAGTGATAAGCCTCGATTAGCCCATCAGCAGCTACCTTACATCTTATATCTGGTTGGTTTCTTACAAAAATACCAATAGTGCATGCTGTAACTATTTCCGTGGCCACGTGAAGTGACTTCCCGGAAGTCTATGTTTTATTACTGTCTTGAATTCTGGGGGTAGGCAGGTTGGGTTTGTTACTATCTTTTCTAAGCTATACAAAGTCAAATGGCACCAACAAATATTGTATTGAACTTGTGGAAAAAGAGCAAAAAAGGCCAATTTCCCAAAACAAATATTTACCTTATCTTTTAAGAATTCTTCGAGTAATATATATCGCTTAAATTTAGTTTGAGGAAAATTGGTTTTGTCGAGAGGTCTAGGTCTTCTTAATGCAATTTCTTTTTTTTACCAAACCACATAATCTTAAACCTTAAGACCCATAAGAACTGAGGACTCATCGTATATTCAGAAAAATTAACACATCGCACATCTGTTTTGTGAGAAAGGTGAAGGAGAGAGAGAAAATTGCAAATAACAATATATATTTTGCAAGTTAGACAGTGAGCAGATGTTTATTCGCCACACATCGTATATCCCTAACACCCCGCTAACGTGCTAATGTAGTCTCGCTCCGTCCTCAGCCTCTGTCTCTGCATGTCTGAAGCAGGAAAACGAACGTTACCCCCGGCGCCTGAGGACTTTAAATCCCAGCTCCAGAGCGCAGAGTGGGAGGTGGGTGGGGGGGAAAGGATTAGAGAGAGCTGTCTGTGATGTTATTTAATCTCACCGGCCAGGGAGCGAGCGCGCCAGCATACCCCTGATGCACGTTATCAAGCTCTGATGACCAGCGAGGGGGGATTGGGGCGCTGCAGACGTTGCATCGCCGCAAACACGGAGCACTTGAAGTCGTCTTCCCGGCCCTAACCAGTCAGCAGCTCAATTTGGGTGATGGCGAGCGTGTTCAGTCGGGGGAGACGTCGGTCCCGGATGATTTCCTCCTTCTCCGCTCATTCTCCTCAGTATTGACACCCCCTCCCCACCTCACCTACCCAGCCAAATGTGTCCCTCCGACTGCCCCCATCTCCCTATAACTACTCCCTACCCCCTGAAACCCAAAGACCCGACAATCGCTCAGTTGCTCGAGCTATCTCAGGGCGCCTGTCTCGCTTCATACCCCCCACACCCACCTCCCCCTCGTCCCCCCACCACCCTCCTATTCTCCCCCCTCCCCCCAAGAGTATTCCAGCATGACAAACCACATGGGATTTCACTAGTCCTTTAAAGTCGGCTGCCTCTGGGAACCACTCTTCTCGGCGCAACGTTTTAGTATTCAAGGGACTACGTGACTGGGGAGGCAACTGATGCCGTTACATTCTTCCTGTCTCCTCCTGGTTGTTATTTCTGATGCTTGGCGGGAAGGACAATAGAAATAGTTTTTTTTTAATCAGGTGATCCTTAATTGATCACTGATTGTTATTTCTTTCCCCTTCAATCATTGGTGGATTTATCTGGTGCCACTTCAAACATATAGCGTCAAGATGTCCTTTTACTGAAGTCATTTTTTTTTTATTTTAACACATAAAAGCATCACAACAACAATATACAAATTCTTAGTAGTCTTTAAAACCAAAACACATTTACACATGCAACAATAGGGTTTAAGACAATGAGTAACTTATTGAATAATTTTGTTTTTGGAATGTGTTTACTCTGCAGGAGAAAAGTCCAGTCTACCCCTTTGCTCCAGAACAACATCTGATATGTCCAATATGTATAGAGTACTGTAATTAAGTCTAATTGAAGGTTTTTAAACATAACATACAATTCCTTTACTGGCATTACTCTCTACCTTTTAGACAGTTACAACCTTAAGTGAAAGAAAGAAAAAAAGGTTTGATGGCCGACAAAGTTTGGTTAAAAAAACAAGTACTTGAGAATATGACCTCCAGACAGCAGCGTGACTCATAAATGTCTGGAGCCGTCGCAATCAATTGATGCTCAATTGGATTGTAAAGAAATGCATCTCACCACACAAGACAATGTGCCCTGTTGTTCTGCAGTGAGTCCGCTCAAATGGGAAAACACGTCTACAAGTTTCTGACAGAAGCACAGCTGCCGTCCTTCGTCTCATCGTTCCAGCCGGCGACGTTCTTTACATTAGCGTGGCATTCAAAATGACCGGTTTCAGAGAAATAAAAGACAAAACTATCAGATGATTCAGTCTGATAAAAAGAATTCAACAGAAATGAAAGGTTGAGGAATAATCAACAGAATAGATTATTGCTCCAGAGTTAAGTGTGTTGTATTATCATCAATCCTTGTGGCCTCTTCAGTTTTTGACGGAATCAGTATGATTGTATGATTGTCTGTTTGAGTCCTTTACATAGGATTGGCTGTAAACATACAGCCACAACACTGAAAACACATTCATAGACACCGAAAATATACATTATGATACTGTCAAAAGGTACAATAATTACACAGAAAAAGGAAATTACATAGTTAAAACAACACCATTATGTTTTCTGTTTATCTTTTCGTCAGTCCACTTTTCATCGCTCGTCCTCCTTGAAATGTGTTGGGCGTTTTGGGCTCTTTAGACCCATCAGGCGCTCCTGGCAGAGAATCAAGGGTCCCACCTGCCCTCCTGCAGCTGGATAAGGGCAGCCATGGCCCGTCTCTCTAAAAGAACCACCGAAAAGCTTCTCCGCTGCTGACCGGCGTCCTCTGTGGGAGACAAAATGGGAAGGAGACATTTTAATTTGCAGGTTTCCAGGCTGGGCAGTAATCATGTCATGTTGAACAACGAAAAAATAAACACAGTCAGAAATTACAGATTTGGAAGCTTAAAAATCAATAGTATTGGAAAGCACATTTTGAAATTGTGACATTAGGTAAAGTTAAAACCCAGAAGGGCACTTAAAGGGGCAATAAAGCACAACCACCAATCCAAGTATTTCATCAAAGGTGATTACATCCACGTCCCGCCCACACCCAAATGTATACAAAGAATTGGGCCATGATTCTAACAGAAGCAAAAGCCAATGATTCAAGCTTGAAATAACTGACCACTGAAATAACTGCTTTACTAATTTGCGTATGTATCAACTAACAAATAACCCTGCTACAGTTAATGAATAAAAACAAAAAGTCAGTGACGAGAAATAAGGTCTACAAAAGGCTATCAACACCTGTTTATTACACCAACAACAACAACAACAACAACAACAGTCACATCACCCTCACGCTTCTTTTGGACACATGTATTCCTTCCAATGTGTAGCAAACCATATTGCAGGTTTTAAGGCTGCGGAGTAATCATGTCATGTATAACAAAAACGACCATAAACACAGTCGGAAATTACAGATTTGGAAGCTAAAAAATCAATAATATTGGAAACAGAATTTTTAAATAGCAGGACATTAAGTACAAGTAAAAACCCAGAAGGGCACTTAAAGCGGCAATAAAGCACAACCACCAATCCAAGTATTTCATCAAAGACTCCGCCAAGGTGATTACATCCACGTCCCACCCACACCCAAATAATCATTACGCCGGATGAAATATTCAATACAAATTCCCAAGAAGCAACAATGAGGCATTTAATTACTGCAAGCGCTAGCCGCAGTGAGGGGGAACAGTGCATCATTTCAATTTGAGCTCGCGCCAGCCCCCCCCCCCTCCCCCCCACAACACCTCCTCCTCTTCTCCCCTAAAAACCTCTATGCCGGAGTGACAGCCTCTCCTTACCCGAACTCATTTGGAAGTCAAAGACATAAAATACTGGAGTCTCCCACCAATCCCCATGACCAATTAGCAAATTTTTTGATTATTTTTTCACACTGTTGACAGGGGGGAAATAGTGCATAATCACAACTAAAATCACTTTAGTCTGAGTGGAGGGCAATTTGACATTTTAATACCAAGTGTCATTGGAGGCTCTTTAAAGGCATGCTGATGAGAGCTTTAGCGCCACACTCCTACACTCAGGCTTATACATATGTGACCACAGTAAACATTAAAAACTGTGTACAGGAAGGGAAATGGTTTATATAAACACATAGTGACTTTCACTGGAGTTAAATATGATCATGTAATTTTACTACTATGTTGTCTAAATTAATGATCGGAAGCATTTTTTATTTAAAAAAAAGAAACACAATACGTTTTTAGTGGAACATGTACAGTATAAGGGATTCTGTCTTAAAGGGGCCCTATTATGCTCATTTTCAGGTAAAAATGTGTATTTTGTGCCTCTAATGTGACATGTTTACGTGCAACTCTGCAGCACCTCTTTTCACCCTCTGTCTGAAACCAGAGCCCAGTCTAGTCTGATTGATTACCTGGCCGTCTCTGTTGTGATTGGTCAAACGCTTAGAGATGTCCCGCCTTTTAGCCTATCACGTACAATGTGTGGGAACGCGAGCCAATAGAAGTGTTACTATACATAGTGATGTCAACAAATATTTCTTAGTTAGAAAACGGAATATCTGCAGTTTTACAACTTGTCAAGCAAGCATTTTGAGGACCTTTTTATATAGGAAACAGGTTCATAGTCCATAATGAGCAGTATTATATCTTACAACAGAGATAACAATAAAACACAATCGATCGGTTTGATATTTGTAATTTGTTGCATACAATATTTGCCGTAGTCTTATAATACTTATGATTATTACAGCCAAATCACTCAGCCTTAATGATGTACGATGTATATCCAGCACTCTGTGTGACACTTTTATAGTTAACACATCACCAACTTAAAGTGACATTACATTTATATTTCTTTACATTAGAGGCAACTTTGGAAAGTGTAGACTGTCACACAACTACCAAATTCACAGAGAGCACTTTAGCCATTTTAGATTCCTAATTTTAACAAGAGAGAAAATATTTGCAAGTTAAATGTGATTGTCAAAAATGTGAATTGGGCCAATGATGCTAAAAGAAGCACAAGCAACGATTCATGATTTAACTGAAAACTAAGCTTTACTCATTAAGTGAGTATCAACCGATAAATAATCCCATTACAGTTAATGAATAAAAACGACTTTATATTGACGAGAAAAGCTCTGCAAAAGGCTGTCAACACCTATTTATTAAACCTCCAACAACAACTGTCACATCACCCTCACACTTCTTTTGGACTCATTTCTCCCAATGTGGGTAGCACACCATTTACCATATAATCTTTTTTCACACCACATTAAGCAATTACTATTATCCTTCCAAGTGAATAATGGAGGCACCCAGAACAGCAGGATACCATCATCACCAATTTAAAGCTACGGATGAAATGAAACACCATTATGTTTTTGATGGGTCAAGACGCTCTCACAGATCTCATGTTTTTTTCTTTGCTTAATTGCAACGAGCTGACGCCTGCGCCCTTGTTGTGTCATCGTAGCTCCATTAATTGTGTTTTTTTTGCTTTGGGAGGCAATTAGGCTTTGATAAATACTTGTTTCATGTAATTACTGCTTCTTTTTTTAGATGTGATGGATGAGTGGCATGAAACTAAGCTGACCAATTTGACCCTAGATTTATTGTGAGTTTTTTACTCATCTGAACCCCAGGAAAACATTAAGGAGATAAGATGGATTGGTACATTTGAATTTGTGTGTGGGTCCTATTCCCTCCCATAGGTGTACTGCAGCATTTAAATTCAAGTTAACATAAAAACCAAGCTACCGATTCCTTACCATGCTATTCAACAAACATAACACAATAAATCCCATGTACTTCAACATATGCTCCTTCATTTTCAGTTTTTATTAGGGAAGTAATAAGGGTCATCATTCCCTCTCCAATATCTATTTTATATCACTGTGAAAAGATATTCTTCAAACGCTGTTATATTTAATCAAGTTTCACAAATCTTTTTACAAGATTGAATTTGAACATACCCTCAACTGGTTGCTAACAGCTAACGTTAACTACCTCTCCTGCTGATTTCAAAACAGATTTGTTGTTTACAATGTAGCATTATTAATAAAAAAGAGTAGTGCTTCCCCTTGGACACGTCAATAGTTAGTGTAATACGTCCAATCAACATTTTCTATCGGCCGCAGAAGGACTAGCACTGACAGTCCCAACAGTGGTACCTGTGGTGCTGTAGATAAACAGGTATCGTCACATTTTCCGAATGTTGGCATTAACTTGATACCGAAGTATTGTTCTGGTGACATCCCTAACAAGCATGTAATTGTCCGAATTCTGTGGATAAGGTGTGCACATCCACAGGGGCACTTTCAGCTCCGCTCTCTTGGTTTAGAACATGATGCTCTAAAAGCTGAGGCAAAGAGGAGAGACAGGGGCGTTGAGAATGTTTATCTTGATCCATATTCTCACATTGATCAGTCCCTGGTGGAAGTGCGGCTCGCCGGAGACAATAATGACCCTGATCTGGGCACTCGGCATGTCTCTGTTTTGTTAAGTTCCTGCGTTATCGATCCAGTGGGGCTCTTGAGTGCTGCTTGGATTCACTCCCAGGCCCCCTCGCCTCGGCACACTGCAGTGACCAGGCACAAAGAAGGCTCAATTAGCACCGCTCTGCTCCCCCACCTGCATGCGCCTTCAAAATCACTCCATCAACCGCCGGGGAGAGTGAGGGAGAAAAGACAGAAGAATACAGAAAAACAGGGAGAGGGAAAGACAGACGAGGGATAAAAGGGAGGAGGATATGTGGGGAGGAGGTAAGGGTTGATAGTGTTACACCAGGGAGCGACACCAAGGTTTCACCTCAAATCAAGACGCCATGGCAGCAGCTCAGCCTCACGTCAACGCCGCTGCAGCAGAGCGTACATAACAACCTGGCTACAACGACACACCGAGGGGAAGACAATTTCCCGCTCTAGCAATGAATGCACACGATCGAGTATTGGGCTGACTGAAGGAGGAGGAAGAGATTTCTCCAGACCTCAAATTAACCCCACCACACCACACCACCGCAGCAGCAGGCAGTGTATTTTAAGTGTCTGCCGGTGGGTTTTGGTGATAACGACACAGTAAAACTGACATGTGGCGGAATAATTCTCTGCTGATTCTGGCGAGGCAGTGTGAGGGCTCTGGGCAGCCATGACACCCTGTGATCCTAACTGAACCTGGCAGGTGCAGTTAATGCCGAAGCCACGTCGAGAGATTGAGACGAGGTGGGAGAAAGACGGCGACAACGGGACGTTAAATCAGAGTCAAACCGACCGGACTAAAGCAGTTTCTGTTAAAACTGCTCTGACCTCTGCAAGGCACTATGCATGCACACGCAGCATAAACCTCCAACCGCAATCTTAAACATCCAGGTTAAGGCCGATCCTCCCTATCTTTTCCACAGGAATATTAAAAAACACATGAACAGTCCTCATATCCCCGGACCTGCCCCTCCTCTCCCCTGCAGCCTTGGCGTCACACGGAGCTGGGGCCGGAGATAAACCACTCAAGACGATGAGGATGATAATGGCAGACGCTGCAGCGCCTCAAAATTCAATCAGCACCGGGACGTCAATGCGGATGAGTGTAAAAGTGAAATATGCTCGCCGGCGTGTGTTAAAAGACGCCACACAGGGCTCGCAGAAACAACAACAGGCGATGAAGAGGAGGATGAGGGGATAAAAAGCAGGAGAGGGAGACAGGAGGAGAAAGAAAAAAAAACAAGAAGGGAAAATGAAAATAATGTGTCTCTACTCCGCTTCCCAGCAGAATCCCACTGGCATTCTGAGCAGCCCTACTT